ATGTTCCTGAGTATAGTCCCGATATCTTGGTGAGCCGCGAATAAAACTCGGAAAGGAAGATAAGGCTCGGTGACCTCGAATCTTCGGTTCGCGATGTCGCCAAATTGGAGAGTGACTTCCGGGGAAGGCACCTGCTCTATTGACACTTGTTTGTTCGTAGTGGCGGCTCCGATATTCCACTCCTACTGCAGCAACATGAATGCGCACTGACCAGAAAGCACTGCAAAGGGAAGGAAACGGGAGTCAGAATGGCTCTGGAAAAAAATCTCCCAGGAGCTTTAAGCTGAGGGATAGCCCGCACCAATTTCCCCCCTCTCTTTCTCTCTCACCACCATCATCTCGTCGATTTCTGACATCGAAATCTTGTACAACACACTAGGTTAACAGTAGAATAATCCAATGGCCCGTACTAAGGTGGGTTTTCGACGTCCTTTTCACCGTTCCTGCATTTTGGAAGAGTGAGAGATGTTGTTCGCCATCGCCGAGGGGCTTGACGAGAAGGAGTTCCTAAGCGCCCAACTCTGATGTGGCGCGAGGGTCCATTTTGGGTGGGAGGTGTACGGGATGGATCACGGAGGGTCGAAACGATGGCTCCGGAGTTTCCACAGGCTCTTTTGTCTCTCGGAGGATGGTCTTCATCGTTCCGCAGTTTCTGGAGACTTCATTTGGGCGAGGATATGTTTTTTGACGACTTTCCTTTTTTAGCAAACCGCCCGCAAGACCACAGGAGGCAAGGCTCCACGCAAGCAACTTGCGACCAAGCAGACTAGGAAGAGTGTTGCAGTCAGTCATGAAACAATATAGCTTGGGTCATAGCTGATCGTTGTCGACGTTGTAGGCTGCCGCTACCGGTGGTGTCAAGAAACCTCACAGGTTCAGACCCGGAACTGTCGCCCTCCGTGAAATTAGGAGGTATCAGAAGTCCACGGAGCTCTTGATCAGGAAGCTGCCCTTCCAAAGGCTTGTCCGCGAGATTGCCCAAGACTTCAAGGTACGCAGTTTATGCTCGCACGTTGAGAAGCATGACATAATGTTACCGGTTATGATAGACGGACCTTCGTTTCCAGTCTTCCGCCGTTTTGGCGCTCCAGGAGGCTAGCGAGGGTGAGGCTATCATTTGTGACATCATCCTAGTGGATCACTAATGTGGAAAACCAGCTTATCTTGTCTCCCTCTTTGAGGACACCAATCTGGCTGCTATACACGCAAAGAGGGTGACCATGTAAGTGTTGCTTGACGCATATAATCATACCCGAGTTGCTCATCGTGACCCCCAGCCAACCTAAGGATCTCGCCCTCGCTCGTCGCCTCAGGGGAGAGCGCTCTTAAGTGATTGATCGGGAAGAGAATGGAGTGAAGATTATTCTGGTTTCCGGACTGTCTGTATTGGTTTAGTGATATTTATGCGTGCAGTATTGTGTTCAAATTATGTAACACCTTGATATCTTATAGCATCTATTGTCGTCCACTTTCACCTTCGGCCGGTGCATTGTCACGTGTTGGATGGCGTTTCGCACCAAATGCGGTTGCACGAAGCTTTTGGTCAACAGCAGCAAATAAGACTCGAGTCTCTTTCAAATTTCATCCATGATGCATTACGGGCTACTGAGATCAGAATTGGCTTTGGCGCCTCGTGCTTATCAGCTGGTCGAAATCGCGTGCCAAAAACGCGGCTCAGGAAGCTCTCTGACGTGTGGGATTTCTCAGGACTTTGGGCATCCATAAGGCCGAAATATCTTGAATATGCCTCGAATCTCTCCTCGCCGATCGCGGTGATCTTCAAAAGTTATCGCGCGATGGCGGAGAAGCGGGGGCAGTGCGTATTCCCTTTATCTCAGTCCTGATGCGATTGAACCAGATATCAACGCCATCACGGAATCTGCGCCTTTTGTGCTGGTGTCGCATGTTCGTGCATCATGCAACAGTCGTTCACGCGCTTATAACCGGGCTGCTCGCTTGCACGCACGGCTAGGCAGCGGCCTCTACCATAATGCGCGTTTTGCAGGCCTATGCGTAAATATAAAGGCTGCTCCGATTCATCAGTTCAGCACATTTTCCCTCACAGGACTTCTTAGAATGGGTTGCACTTCATGGATTCTCTTCGCGACCACCTTGCTGGCTTTGGTGGCCGCGCTCCCCCAATCACTGGGCCCCGCGATAGCACTGCATAAGAGGTCAAATCTACACAAGTTAGACGGGACTGTTGACCTCAGCGCCCTCCGTCGGCACATCGCGAGCACCGAAGTGTACGTTATTATACTGTTCAGAGTCGTGATCTCCTCACCATTGCGATCGGATGACTAGGAAAATACAGAGGGGACTTTCGGCTTACGCAAAGAACACTGGTGCTCCTTCAGCTCATGCAAAAACCTTGTCAAGGCGTTCATCTGGCTCGGATCCCCTTACTGACGATAGCGGGGTGAGATGGTATGGCGACATAACCGTAGGCACTCCTCCGACGACCTACTCTGGTAAGCAGAGATATATTCCCGAAGGCCATTCAGGTCTGACTAGCTAGTCACAGTTGATTTCGACACTGGGAGTGCCGACCTCTTCTTGCCCGGCACAGACTGCGGGTCTTCCTGTGACGGACACAAGCTATACAACCCGGCTTCGAGTTCGACCTCCAAGGATGTGAACAAGACGTTCACTATGATGTACGGAGACGGCTCCAGCGTTCTCGGAGAACAATATACAGACACAGTATCCATCGCCGGATACGCAGTACGTCATCACTCTCGTCAAATTGTCTGTCCTTCATAAGTACTCCTTGCAGGCCAAAAACCAAGTCCTCGGCGTCGCTTCCCAATATTCGTCCGCATTTTCATCTTCAAATTTTGCACCAGACGGCCTTATGGGCTTGGCTTTCAAATTGGTTTCAACATACAATTCCGACTCCGTATTCCAGACCCTTGTTGCGCAGGGCGCTGTCCCTCAATCTATTTTTTCATTCAAGCTTGCAACGTCAGGGTCAGAGCTGCGCATTGGTGGAATGAACAATGCGTTGTATACAGGAGGGTTTACTTGGACGGATGTTACGGAGGAGGTACGTTTTATTCAACGTGTACCTACAATGAGTGAGCTTAAGGCCTCGGATTAGGGCTATTGGCAGATTGATGTCGATGGTATCAGCGCGAATGGGAACGAGACGCTGAAAGGCTTGTCAGCGATCGTCGATACTGGTACCATCCACTCGTATTCTCACGCGCCTGAGTTCTTACCAGACCGAACAGGTACCACCCTTATTCTCGGGCAGACGTCGTCGGTCCAGCAGTTCTATGACGCGGTTGGTGGCACAGACGTTGGTGGGGGGCTTTATACTTGTACGTGTGCAACACGGCTGACCCTCATCGAGTTGTTGACGATGATCAAACAGTGCCATGTGATTCCATGCCCAGTGTCAGCGTGACGCTTGGCGGGAAATCCTTCACGCTCTCGTCTGACACCTTTAACTTTGGAACCTTTGATTCGAGCGGAGAAACTTGCGTGGGCGGGATCTCCGCAAGCGATAGCCTTGGTGGTGCGACTCCTCTTAATATGGTTCTTGTTCTTTGTTTACTGAAGTGCAATTGGCAGACCTATGGGTCCTTGGGGATGTTTTTCTGAGAAATGTCTATACGGTATTTGATTTGGGCAATTCCCGAGTTGGGTATGCAGACCTTGCGTGATTAATTGCGGAAGGGACTGGGGATAGGGGGTAGAGGATTGGGGATTGACTGCGCAGAGGGCTTGTCGTTGACCGACCGCGTCTGTGTATATTTGCACAATACACTGGTTCAATGGTAATCGCGGCAACCTGGCCGTTTTCGGAAGGTTAGGTCATTGGATATGGCAAGGGCTGCATGGATCCAGCTTCTTGCTCATGTCCGTAACACAAGGCCTTTGTGTGGGTTTTCCTCAAACGAAGGGATTTGCAGACTGCGTGATCCCCGTCGAGACGGTTTTCTCACAGTTTTCTCCAAGTCTTCTCCGAAATCACTTCCAGGAATAACAGTTATTTGGACAACTGTGGTTCTTCATCGTCTCCGCTCTCTTTTCTTGTGCAAATGCTGCTGTAATGCGTGATACGCAAGCCCAGCAGAGCTGACGTATCCAGTTCATGTTTCTTGGTGACGGGCATTATTGGATTCCATGACAAGGCCGTCGGCGTGGGGTGTGGTCTCCAAGGGTTCCCGATGCCACCACATGGGGAGTCGCGGTTGCGGGCACCATTGGAACTTGTGACAAAGCCTTTAGATAGGGTGTTTTTTTGTTCATTCTTCAGGCCCAGAAAGTGCCAAGGCAATACCCATATCAGCCAATCAACGTTGCATATCTTAGTTCAAGTCTCGAGTGTCATGGCAATGAGTAGCGGACCACTTCTATGGGGTAATGTAGAGGGCCCGATGGAAGTGGCAGGCTCAGACCCGTGAAGGCTCCTACAGATAGGAGCTTGATTTGCAGTCAGTTCGTGCTATTAGGGCACACAAAGAACAATGCGCTTAGCATTCCAATGTCCTGCTGGCAGAATAAGACTCAGCTGAAAGTGAAATGAAAATATTCAGATCATCAGACAACTTGAAGGCTGCACAAACTTGCGGCATTTTCAGTATTACACCAGCGTGGATACTAGATAGGGGGAAAATGATCACAGGAATTGTACCCACCTGTGATTTGATGTCGTAGCCCAAGATATGTTGACCTCGTTGTTTCAAGCTATACCTGCTCTCGTATCACAAATGGGTGGTCTCCCGTAGGCAGACCATATAAAAGGAAGATAGTCGTTCACCCCACTAGTAAATAATCACAACGGGGGGGGGAAGCTAGCAAGGACGACTTACCCACTCTGGATTTCCGAAATGCATACATTCCCAGTGGTGGGTGACGCCTGTGATGGCGCGCGTCGATCTCGAGAAGGCAAAATATCGAAAATATGAAGCCTTGGAGTCATATGGCGACCTACAAGGCCCAAAAATCGCCCAGAAGTCAGGGGAAAATGAGAAGTGATAGGACAACAAAAATGACCACCGCAGGGGTCGAACCTGCAATCTCCTGATTTTACGTAAGCAGTTGATGCTTGGTCGTAGTCAGACGCGATGCCATTTCGCCAGGCGGCCATGGGAGGACGGGCAAGTCTACGAACTATCATTGGTTAACGCTGCGAGGTCGATGACGAACCGAGCGACGCCGGATGAGCATCGCGGAGATGGAGGTGAATGTTCCTGGTTGAAATCTCCGCGGCGTTAGCCAAGGGAAGCAATTTGTGACGTACGCACCTTTTGAACAAGATGATGGTTGCCTCAGGCTGTGCGGGTGTCATTTCTCGCGCATATATGCACCAGTGAGCCCTCCGGCTCTGTCACAGCGCATATATTTGGGGTCAACGGAAGATGTGAGAGCCATACGGCGTGGGGACGCCCGCATGGTATGGCAGGGCACGCAGGGGGGGGGGCGTGGCAGTGGCTCTATGTAAGAGAAGGTCAAGAGCAGGAATGATGGTCACCAAACGTTCGCACCGAGCTTGAGAGGAGGAAGGTGGAGAAATGAGATGGTCGGAAGCAAGGCTGGGCGAGGCAAACAAACAAAGTCTCGATTGGGACGCGACGCGTCCGTACCATCGGCATGTGATCTTGATCTCACCGCGTCCGAGCTGACTGGAGTAAATCAGAATTGTTCATCAAAGACATGCGAAGCCATTGTTAATATTTAATTCAGGGCGTCTCGCCTCGGGGGCGGGGAAAACAACCTGGTTTCACATCTCCCCGAACAGTGATCGAATACAACATGCAGCATAGGTATCCGTCGTAAGAAATTTTAACATCTGAGCTCTAAAACCATCACGCAGGGAAGTACACTTTTACAGACAGTTGCTGGAGGTTATCTCAGAAAACTGGGAGCAAGGTATATCAGGAGCAGCATGGTTGATGGTATGAAAATCAGGATATACAGAAGACTCCTCCGTGTCAAGTGCTTGGCTGCGTACTCCGAGGGTGGGGGTCAGCGTGCGGAGGCGGAGGGAGGGTGTCAGTGGGCTGAGACGTGCCGCAGGCGCAGGGTAGGTATAAGTGCCATCCTGAGATATAGCATAGGATTGGGAGATAGACGCAGGAGTGGTATGCTGAGAGCGGACGGGTGGTGTGTGGTGCTGGGAGGAGACACCTCGAACTTCACTTTGAACAGCCTCTACATCAGCATCAATCGCGTGCAGGTTTGAGTCGAGAGCCGCGAGGTCTTTGTGCGAGAATTGCAGCTCAAGCGCACACCGCCTGTGACGACACTCTACAGTGGTCTTTGGGGCATAGCATTCTTCACACCGCGCAAAGGTGATAGCGAGTTCAGGTGAAGTGGCGACGCGGGTGTATGTGGGGAGCGACTGTGACTACGGTTCTGTTAAGTGAGGCGCCGGGCAGGATGGGGGCAAGCACACATACCTCGGAGGCTTCACCCAACCTCCCTGGAGTCCATTCCACCGGCTGTGGGGGGCTGACTCCGGAAGAGGAGAAGAGCATGGACGCCGCTGGCGGGTTCATCCCGCTCGAACCACTCGGGTGCGCGGTGGGTGAGTTGTGCTTTCATCATGAACAGTACACTGGCGTTTTATAGGAGGGGCTTGTACTGTGCGACTGTGGACTTTCCATTTGAAGTGAGCTGAAAATAGATATTAATAGGCGCGAAAGACTCGGCAAGATCATAATTGGGAGGTTTGATGGGGGGGGGACAGCAAGTCGTTCCTTCCGAAGCGGAGCTTTGAGGGGGAGGCAGGACAGGAAAGCCTTGATAAGAATAGTTTGGGGAGTTCGCACCCACCGGAACAGGCATGCCGGGCCGTTCTACCCCAAAGCAGTCACCTTGATGGAGAATTCAGGGTCCGATAACTTGACTTTGTGTTGGTGCCAGCACTGTGTCAGCGTTACTTACGGCGCTTCAGGAGCAGGAACAGGTGTGAGACGCGGGCAAGAGGGGGATGTCACGGCTATGATCGGCTTCTCGCCGTTCTTGATTTAGAGGCCAAAAGTAGTCGGCCGAAACTGGCCTAGGTATACGCATAAAGCTGAGATATTTTCTTATCGGCTTCTCAAGACTGAGAGGTTGTTGGGTGCGCAAGACCATATCTCAGCTCTCAGCTCTTGAACCGCAACGGTATCTCGCAGAACGTCGAATGAAATACAGGGTATCACACGTACGGAAAATTCCAGACCTCCGCTCTCATTGTACACGCCCACCAGCACACCAATCACCGCCTCTCCCGCACCTTGATCCACACAACTCCAATCACCGCAACCCCAAACCCAGCGATGAACGCAAACAGCACGAGGACGTCTCTGTAATAATTGTTCGTCCCGAACCCGAACAGCTGCGCGGAGGCGCGTTAGCGGTGCCCGAGAAGCAGGTTCGGCGAGATATACTCACAAGTTGCATGATAAGCGTCGCAGACACATCTACAGGCACACCCTGCAGCTGGTCTTGTATCATAAGTCCCGAGCCGACCTCGTTCACCGAGAGCGCTTCCAGCGTGTACTACAACCACCGCACGCATGAGCACACAGCTACAGGATAGGACTCTGCACGGCACTACGCGCCTTGAGTGGACACAGCCACTGCAGCCATCGCAAGACCGGCGGGATGGACTCGAGATGCACGAAGAACCCTGCAAAGGTCATCTGGTACAGCGCCGTGAGGGCAGAGAGGAGGATCGCGATCCCGCCGTTGCGGAAGAACGCCCCGAGGAGGAAGTTCTGCGTTTCGACAACGTTGAATACGAGTGCATAAAGTCGGTTAGCTCCAGTAGCAAGACATGGGGCGAGAAAGGGACGCACGAAGAGCGTCATCACGAGCGTGTAGAGCACGAGTATGAATAAGAACTTGAAGAAGTGCGCCGCATCGTGTGCGAGGCCCGCCATCCAGTATGTCCTGTGTGCAGCACATCAGAAACAGCGCGAACACACATATGAAGGCTCAGGGACGTACACGCTCGAAACAATGATCGTCGGTATTATCCGGAGCGGGACCACGTCGAAGAGGAACCGCGAGAGGAGCCATGCTGTCGGGCTATACCAGATGTCAATGATTCAGTGCGAGCATGAGCAGGCCGGGACATCAAAGAGAGCCCAATAACGCACCTATAATACGCGTTCGACCGCTCGCGCATGAACAACGGCCGGATCTCGACGATGTTGGCGAGAGCACTGAGGGAGGAGAACGCGATAAGTGCGCCCTAGTGAGGAGGTGAGTTTGGTTTTGTCGAGTCTTTGTTGTCCACGGGGAGGGGAAACGTACCAAGAAGAATAGACACCCAATGCGGGATTGGAATCCTGCAATTGTTGTCCCCGTCTGGTAATACAGCCCACCTGCGTCGGCGACAAATTACAGCCGAAGTACCAAGACAAGGACCGACGAGACGCACCACAAAACACGCCCAACACAGAAGCGACGCATACGTGCGTGACGAACAGCGATTTATCCCTGCAGCCAAGACCCAAATCACACCTCGTCAGCCGCGCCAAAACTCACCCGCAGAGAAAAACGTGGCGCACCTCCGCAATACCTTCCACTCCCGCCCACACAGCACCTCGAGCTGCGTCAGGAACGTCGCCGCGTAGGTTCCTCTCGCGCGTTGGCCATGTACGGCCGGTCCACGCTCGCGTGCGACTAGCCCCTTTTCTTCGTCGCTCGAGCTGGGACTCATCGTCGTGCCCAGCACTTCGCCGCCGCCGCTCGCGCGGAAGAGCCCCACAGGCGGGTCGCTCGCGATCTCGAGGAGGTAGTCCGCGACGTTGTAACCTTCGGGGTAGGCCCGGTGCGGGGCGCCTTCGTTTTGGTTTCCTCCCCCGCCTGCACTCCCCGCGTTCCCGCCTCCCGCAGCGCGGGACAGGTGCTCCACGGGCGCGAACCCCCCTGGGCCGCTGTACAGCGCGCGCCCGTGCGAGAGGAGGAGGACAGAGTCGAATGTGTGGTAGAGGCGCGAGCTGGTGGCAAGGGGTGAGGTTGGGTGGGCTGAGATGCGCTGATGACGAAAACCTACCTCGGCTGATGGACACTCATCACCACCGCCACCCCTTTCCCTCCGCCTATCCTTCCTTTCCCCTCCTCACTACCATCCCCACCCCCCACACCGCCCCGCGCGACCTCCCCCAGCACGCGCACAACGCGCATCGCGCTGACGCTGTCCAGCCCACTCGTCGGCTCGTCGAGGACCAGCACGTCCGGGCACCCCACGAGCTCGAGGCCGATGCTCACGCGGCGCGCCTCGCCGCCGCTTATCCCCCTCCCCCGTCCTCCTGCGCCCATTCCCCCCTCGGATCCACCGCCGCTGCCGATACGCGTGTCAGCGACGTCGGAGAGGCCGAGGGCGGTGATGAGGGACTGTACGTGGGTGGATAGGAAGTCTGCGTTGGGCTGGGATGCGGAGCTGGGTGACGGGGAGGTGAGCGACTCGGGGAGCCGGAGACGCGCGGCGAATGTCAGCGCTTCGCGGACGGTGAGCGCCGAGGGGAGGGTATCGTGTTGCGGGACGAAGGCTATGCGCGGGGATGTTTGGGTGGGGGAGGAAGAGGCGGGGAAGGTGATAGATCCGCTCGAGATACCTGCCTTGTGTTTTCCTGCGATGAGCTCCACGAGAGTTGTTTTCCCCGCTCCTGTGTATTTCTCTTAAAGTCAATCAACCTGCGCAAAATAAAGACGGAACGCACCACTTGGCCCCAGAACAGCCATCATCCGTCCCGGCTCTACGCTTCCGCTCACACAGTCCAAAATTGTCTTCTCCTCGCCCTTTTCTCCCAAAAATCCATACGAAGAAGACTGAGAGCGCACGAGGAAGCTGATGTCTTTGAATTGGACGCCGACGCCTCCATGTTGCTCTCCACCTGAGCCCCCGCGCCGCGCTTTTCGCTGGAGGATGTATCCCCAAGCGACACCGACGAGCGCGATGAATATCAGACTACCCACCACGACGAGTCCCGCAATGACACCTCCGCCGAGCTGTGTCCCACCCGCACTAGTTTGTGCAGTGATCCCATTCCCGGCATCGATAAACCCCTGCGCAACGCACTCCCCGAACACACACCCCTCCATCGCCAAGCCCGCGCTGCCGAAAAGATTTTGGAGGACACTCTGCTGG